GGGGGGGCGGGGGTATGCAGCTAATTGAATGAGCAAAACAGGACAGCCAGGAAACAAGAAGATTGGAAAAATGAGTATCTGCATTCTGCATTAAATACATGTATCAATTAATTTGTTTCATAAAAAAATTATAAATAAATAAATTGATAAAGTTAAAACACATCTTTGATGATTATATATTGAGGGATTACACATCTTTGATGATTATATATTTAGGTAATAAACATCTTTGGTGATTATGTATTGAGGTAATAAACATCTTTAGTGATTATATATTGAGGTAATAAACATCTTTGGTGATTATATATTGAGGGAATAAACCTCTTTGGTGATCATATATTGAGGGAATACACATCTTTGTTGATTATATATTGAAGTAATACACATCTTTGGTGATTATATATTGAGGTAATAAACATCTTTGGTGATTATATATTGAGGTAATAAACATCTGTGGTGATTATATATTGAGGTAATAAACAAAGTAAACAAAATAATAGTGTTATAGGTAATTTTATGAAACTTGTGTGTACTTGTCTTATTTCAATGGCTATTTCTACATAAAATAAGCTGTGAAACAAAGCAGGAGTAAAAGTATAAAGTTTTTAATTTTTAATTTGATTTTCATTTCAATTAAAAAAACATATTTTGGAAATATCCTAAATTTTTTGGAGAATATTCGGGAACCAATCAAAACTTTTTAGCACACGCCCTATAATGTACACCTAATTTAACTTCATAGCATGATGATTACTTTATAGCACTTTCATTATGAAAATCACGATGAAGTGAGGCCAGAGTCTAAAACTAAAGAATGAAAAGTTTTGACTTAAATTTTAAGTTCATGGTTAAATGCCACTTCTGACTTAATTTAAACCAGAACTTTAACCATAAGGTTAAATATTTAAACCTGTGGTTAAATATTTAACTCGCCGAAATCGACGAGTTAAAATTAAACACAGGGTTAAAATGTTGAAATCCCGCAATCCCTATTTGTCTATCATCATTCAACGATAAGCGGCATTCAACTAATTACGATATATTTAAAAGTAAAAACCTTGATTTAATAAATTTCACGTTTTAGATTAATTAATGGTTGCATGTAAACCCAAAATACGGTTGTAACTGGAAATATGTTTTGTTTTCGGTTATGTAAATATTTTGAAGTTGACTAAAACAGCTGATTAGCTATGGTTAAGTAATATTCTCCATAAATCCTTTTCTCTGATTGGGTGAAATTTTTCCCAGGAAATTCAAATTTAAAATTGAGAAAGCTTAATATTTAAATAGCTATTCATTATTTTACAAAACTTTTAACCTCGACTTAAAATTTGCACATTCTTTAGTTTTAGACTCTGGAAGAATGATAAAGTACACAATTGTTGTCGGATAGCAGCAAGATATAATGAACAGTAATACAACAGGATAACCCACAAATCGAAATCGATAATGCAGAGAAACTCTTTATTTCCTAAAAAATGAAATGGATAATAACATATAAATTATTACAAAGTTTTATAATTATATAATGAAAAGATTCTTACGATCTAATAATTGATATGAAGGTTAAAACTGTTGGGGAGTCCTAAGACGTTTTTATATATTAAAACTTCTGAAAAGAATGACAATTAATTGTTAACAAAAGTCACTAATTCTTTATATGAAAATATTCTGTTCACAATAATTAAAGTGTTTAGACTTTGTTACTGGAGAACAAAGAAAATGGGGCTAAAAATTATTTGGTTGGGTTTCTCCGAGAGGGGATTTCAAGTTAAAGACGACATTACATGGATGGACGGGGGAGTCTTGTAGTTAATGGTTGACACTGGCCCCAGGCAGGGTTCGAGGATGTTAGGATAACATACAAGAATCTAAGGAAAACCATTAACAATATACTGAAACATGTAGTTTGAATGATTGATAGGTACTAGATTGATTGATGGAGATAAACAGAAGTAACATTACAAGATGCATTAATTAATACTGTATGCAACAGGCAACTAATTGATGAGATTAAACAGTAAAGGAAAATTGAAATTGCGTGGCACATTCTCCTGTGCTTATTAGTCAAAATAATTTAAAGGAAGAATAAAAAATAAACTTCATATGTAAACTAAGAATGTGCTGAAATCTTGAACATAAATTGAATAAAGAGCTAAAATGAAGGAATTAATTAAACTAGAAAAGATCATTATTGAAGTTAATATGGAAATGCGAGTAATTGTGTCAAGAACAAGAATCATGAATTTTAAGGTTTATTTTTTTTAAGGGAAAATTTAAGTAATTGAATTGAAATGTTTCCTGTTTGTGTTCTAAGAAAAATTGAAATATTCAAATAGTTGATTCCTGTGTTGGTGCTGGGTATAGCTCTATTGATTGATTTCTTCGAGTTCCGGGTGGAATTCATCTTGTGTAGGCTCTGGTCTGGAACTTGGAGCTGGGGCTAGATTCCGTGCCTCCCGAGGTGAGGCTGTAGACGGTTTCCTGAGGGTTCTGGGTTTCCAGGTTCATGAATGGAAACAGTTGGTTGAGGTGCCTGTCTACCACTATCTTCTGCCCTCCTACTTCGAGACGGTAGCTAATAGTAGCGCCATAAATGTCTCCATTCTTTCTACGAATGAGTTGTTCCACTCTAGCTGCAGAAATAGGATTCTTGTATATGGGTTCGTTCTTGAACAGGACTATGTCTCCGATTTGGGGGAGGTTGCCCTGGTCCTTCCAGGTGACAGTGAATCTGCACCGAGTATATTCCTGCTCCCATAACTCATGGAACATGTTGAGAGTGACGTTCCATCTGGAGATCTGTTGGTTGATGGGAGCTACAGGGTTGACCTCGTCTCCGAAACCCTCTCTAAACCCCTGGAGAACATGATTGGGAGTGAGGGTGATTCCCAGCGGAGCTCCAAGAATCAGAGGTCGATTATTGAACTTTTCAATAACTCCATGTGTCCAGGTGAGCAATTCCTCGTTGTCCATGATCAGCTGGTGAGGGTGGACGAGTGACTTGCTGACCGTGTTCTTGATAGAGCTGATTATTCTTTCCACTGCTCTGATACCAGCATGATGTTTGGGCAGAGTGACCCTGAACTCAATGGAGGTGAACTTTAGATTGAGGTTGGAGATGACCTTCATCTCAGTGTCGACCAGATCCTTGCCAGCCTTGACGATGTTCAGACCAGCATCAATCCAAATGATGCGAGGTGTGCCCCTCAGAGCAAAGGTTCTGTTGAATCCTCTGGTAATACTCTGGGAGCTGTAATTGTGCAGGATTTCGAGGTGCACCCCGCGACTGGAAAGGCAGAGAACAACAAGGACCCATCGTTTGGTCTTGTTACAGTTGACATGGGCAAAAACAGGTCCGAAGATGTCAGCTTGACAGTAAGTGAAAGGAGATTGAACTGACTTGAGGACATCAGGGACGTCTGCTTCGTAAACCGTGAAGGGTACCTTATTTAGCTTGATGCATCCAGGGCAGGACTTCTTTAGGTTTGTGATTATTTTGAGGACCCCAGGAATGAAGAATGTGTGTGAGCATATGAAGGACGTCCCTGCCATGACCTAGATCAGCATGAGCATCATTCAGGATATTTAGTGAGGATAATTTTCTTGCAAATGAGGGGAACTCCGATCCTGGAACGGAAGCTGCCATCTGACGCATAGTAAACTCCGTCTACGACTTGGATGATGAGGTGTTTCATCTTATGGTTCGCTATAAGGAGCTCAGATTCCGAAGTGAAACACCTGAGGATGGAGAACTTGATGGAAGACTTAATCAAGCTCCAGGTAGTGGTAGGATTGTGGTTCTTTCTCCTTCTCCAGGTTCCACAAACCTTGTGGATGAGAATCAGAGATTTGAGGACTGTAGAGAAGCTCTGAGTGTGCTGCAGGAGACTTAAAATCAGTCCCTGGGATGGGTTGACCGGAATTGACCTTGTGAGGTTGACCGACAGAGTAGAGATTTCACTTGTGGTGATTGAAGAGCAGAGGATAATTGGCCAGGAGGGCTTCTCTTGGGGTAGAAAACCAGAATCAGTTATTGGGTGAGGATGTAGCGAAAATCTCCATTAGTGTGACTCTGTAAAACACTGGATTCCCAGCAGGATCATTCTTTGCAATCATTCTCAAGATGATCTCTGAATCTCCGATGAACGGGGGAGGGGAGAGGGAGACGTTGAACAATTCCTGACTGATCTTCTGTTCCATCCTGGAGGCGAGTATGGCCCCAGCCATTTCAGTTTGTGGAGCAGAGAATGCCGACTTTCCTAATATCTTTGAGGAGCTAGAAACAAGGTTGAATTGACCGCCAGAGTGCGAATAAACACAGGCACCATATCCTTGTAAGGATCCATGGAAAAATATGAATAGTTGAGCTTGGTACTGAAATATAACTTGTCTGGGGAAAAATATTTCCCTGGTGAGTAAGATCTCTCCCACTGCAGTTCTAAACCCGGTAGTACATTCCTCAGACAGGATCGAATTGATGGATGGAGTTGATGGATCCGACAGATCTCGCTAAAGAGGGCTCGCACTGAGAACATGAGAGGAGCAGCTAATCCTGTAGGGTCGTAGAACTGACACACAACGGATAGGACATTCTTCTTGGTGATAGGGAGAGATTCGTCCTGCAGAAAATCTGAGTCTAAATTCGTGCCGGAGGGAATTCCACGGGATTTCTTGTGGAGGTTGAGGCGAAATTTGAGGCTGTATAGGTCCCTGAGTCTATCCCATGTCATTCCCAGGTATTTGCTGACACCATCTTCGCCAGATTTTTCCCAGGATTTGATCAAGAAACCACCTTTATTGAGAATTTTTTCTATTTCTTGTAGAAGAGCAGAGAGCTCGACAGTGGGAACTAGCGCCCACCCCTCCATCGTCAAAGTAGGTGTCCTCCAGGACAGCTTGGAGTATAGCAGGGTGGAGGTGGGGGAGTCATGGATGAAAGTCTGGACAGTTGCAATTTTCGCACAAGTTGCATAGTTGCTGGACGCACTGTTGCCGAAAGGAATTGCTTGGTCTCGGAAAAATCTCCAGGTAGGGTTAGGAGTAGGGGGACATGAGAAAAAATTGGAAGGAACACACATAATCCTGAGGAATGAGTCTTTGACAGAGGTGAGTACAGATCTGAAGAATTTCTGAATGTTATAAACAGTGAAGTGAGGGTGACATCTGGAGCGTATTAAGATTCCTCTCATGTTGGGAACGTTTCCAGGGGCTGGTAGAGAAACATTGTTGAGGCTGAGGCCAGTCTCGGTGCGCATGGAACTGTCTGTGGTCATTCTAACCTTGGTGGACGAGCTGGTGGAAGACACGACGAAGTTGTAGGCTACGAAGTGGAGTTGGTACTGTTCTCTGTGGTCATCAGGGTTGATTTCAATATAATTACCATTGTTGATTTGTTGATTGATGTACTTGTCGATCTCAGCTGCGACCTCAGGTTTGTCGGAAATTCTAGCATGCAGAGCGTAGATCCTTCTTGTAGCACCCTAGTAATTCTCGCCAAGGTTTGGAAGATTCAGTTTATATAGACAATTAACTTGAACTCTACCTTTGACAGGGTCCACGACGGTGTTGTCCATGATGGCCTGGATGTTCTTCTCCTTAGTGATCTTGAGGTGTTGCTCTAGGATGGAAGGGGTTGTGAATTCTTCGGCTGAGGTGAGGAGGAGGAGTTGATCTTGTATGTCTTGTATCATCAACACATTGATGATGACGGTGTTGCCGGTGTTGGCGAGGGGGGACTCGGACCAGGTGATGGAATTGGAGGGGACAGCGCCGTAGACCATGCAGTTGTTGGTGATAGTACTCTGGTAGAGTGCTATTCCCAAGGGATCTCGTTCAATCTCAGTAGGGAAGAAACAATGATTATCTCCCCCTAGCAAAATGGATACATGGCCGTCGTGAGGTTTCTCCACTTGGGTGGGATGGTAAAGGAGAACGCCGGGCCGTTGTTTTGGTCTTCCTCTATTGTAGACAGTTTCAGGGTCTTGCCTTGGATCCTCAGTTTGACCGCAGTAGTAAGTACTACTTTACCTTCGCCAGCGTAGATTGCTATCTTTACTTGAGAAGAACTCCCGAGGGAGTACATTGATCGAGGGATGTTAGAGAGGGCTGACCTGGAAATGAGGCTGAGCTGACAACCTGTGTCATATTGAATCCCTATTGGGGTGTTGCCAAGGAGTACGGTTTCTACCAGGGGAACTGACCTGTCGGTGCTGACCTTGGAGACAGAGATGAAGGGGGCCTGGTTGTTGTGCATGCAAGCCTTCTTATGTACGGGAATTCCTTTTTTGAGGCAACCCTTGGGACACACTTTGGACACACCGCTGTTGTAGGTAGTCTTGCACTTGTAATCGACGCTGTGAGCCTGGGTACATGTGAAACAGAGGCTGTTATCAGCAATCAATTTGGGGATTTCGGGTGAGCTCAGTTTGCCAGTACCAAAGGCGCTGGTGAGGGAATAATGGTTAGCTTCAAAACCCTTGATTGAACACATGGTGCATGGCCTTGGAGGACGGTGGTGCTGGGGGCCAGAGAACCTTGGAGGCTGAGGATTAGGTTTGGAGGTTCCTTGTCTGACTACATTGACTCCTATGCTTGAAATACCGAGGTCGAGATCATAGAGATAAGGAGTGGATTGATAATTCTTCTCTAATTTTTCCACAAATTGTGAAAGGAACAGGAAAATGGCTGGAGGTCGGACATTGGCTGGCACGGAATTTGGAGAATTTGTTGTTGAAGGATGGTCTCACCTCTGAAGGCAGGCTCTTCATGATGTTTTGTACCAGAGGCTGGGTGAGGGCAACGCTGTGGAGATCTTCCTTGTCGTGAAAATTCTGCATGATCTCCAGGTTGGCTTGCAGGGTCTTGATTTTGGGAGACCTTCTGGACTGATTCATAGCAAGGGAGGAGGTTAAATGTTTGATTGACGTCTCTCCCGAAAATATCTATGCTTCCGAAATTCTTCTATCAGTTTAACCTTGAAGGTGAGCCAGTCAATGATGTTGTTGAAAGGTCCTCATTTAGCAAGAGGGATGGCATTTTGAGTGAGAGCCACTTGAACCTTGAAGGTGAGCCAGTCAATGATGTTGTTGAAAGGTCCTCATTTAGCAAGAGGGATGGCATTTTGAGTGAGAGCCACTTTAACATTATCTTCAGCTCGGGTCAGGTTGAACCTGTTCAAGACAGCCAACAGCCAGGGGTAGAAGTCTGCAGATTTTCCGCTCCAGGTTGGTGTATCAAGTTTAGGAGGTTTGAAACTGGAAGAAGGTTGTTGATTATGCTGAGAAGAGGGGGGGGGGGAGTCAGGTATGATGGAGGACATGGAGGCATGGGTTGCCAGAATATCTGAGGCGGTCTTCCTGGCAGTGTTGAAGGCGGAGCAGTCATACATGAGGAAGTCAAGGTTTGAGATGAGGTGATTTGGAGGGATTGAGGGAGGTTGGCGGGGGGTAGGGGAGTTGAGTTGGATTCGTCGATGTTCAGTTCCTCACCTAGATTGTGGACATGGTTGGTAGGTGTAGGGCATATCATGCATCCTTGCATTCTGCAGGGATTGTTTCTTGTACATCTTTGAGCTTCCTGATGAGGGGTTTCTGGAGAAAATTCGTTGAGAGTGTGAGGATCCTCCTGTTGAGGAGTAGCTGGGTTCATCTCGTGGCTTTCTTGAAATTTCGACACATCTTTTAGATCAAAATGTTATCAGACAGCAGCAAGATTCTCAATAATGAACAGTAATACAACAGGATAACCTACAAATCAAAATTGATAATGCAGAGAAACTCTTTATTTCCTAAAAAATGAAATGGATAATATCATATAAATTATTACAAAGTTTTATAATTTTATAATGAAAAGATTCTTATGATCTAATAATTGATATGAAGGTTAAAACTGTCTGGGAGCCCTAAGACGTTTTTATATATCAAAACTTCTGAAAGGATTGACAATTAATTGTTAACGAAAGTCACTAATTCTTTATATGAAAATATTCTGTTCACAATAATAAAAGTGTTTAGACTCCGTTACCAGAGAACAAAGAAAATGGGGCTAAAAATTATTTGGTTTGGTGTCTCCAAGAGGGAATTTCAAGTTGAAGACGACATTACATGGATGGGCAGGGGAGTCATGTAGTTAATGGTTGACACTGGCCCCAGGCAGGGTTTGAGGATGTTAGGACAACATACAAGAATCAAAGGGAAAACCATTAACAATATACTGAAACATGTAGTTTGAATGATTGATAGGTACTAGATTGATTGATGGAGATAAACAGAAGTAACATTACGAGATACATTAATTAATACTGTATGCAACAGGCAAATAATTGATGAGATTAAACAGTAAAGGAAAATTGAAATCGCGTCGCACATTCTCCTGTGCTTATTAGTCAAAATAATTTAAAGGAAGAATAAAAAATAAACTTCATATTGTAGAAGCCTGACTTTTAGTTATAAGAAAATATGATTTTGTCTTAAATGTTAAAATTAGAATTGAGTTTGCATAAATGCGCAAACAGTTTCACTGATATTTCGCAAACTTGTTCAATCTCGGATTTT